ATCAAATAATCCTAATAATCCATCAAATAATACTAATAATCAATCAAATAATAATTCTAATAGTATTATAAACACAAACTTACCAATTACAAAATTTAATGATATTAAGAAAGATACAATAAAACCAAATATAACATTAAAAACACCTTCTATTCAACATACTACTACTAAAACAATAACTAAAAAGGTTATAAGTGAAAAAGTCAGTACTTTAACAACCACTGTATCTAAAACAGCTCAACCCATAACCAAATCAATTCATGAAACCCACAGTATAACTGTTACATCTACAATAACCACAACAATAACAAGTAATGGCACAACAACCCAACCACCTGAAAACGTAACAGAAAATAAAAAAGTAATCAAAGTAGTTAATATAATTTATGATAAATTGATAAAACATTATTCAAAATATCATTTTGATAAAAAGTTTCCTAAAAGAAAAAATTTTGTAAAAGACATGTTAAAAAAAATTGATTATCAATTACCAAAAAAGGAATTAAAAGAAAAAAACATAAATATTAATATTAATCCAAATGAAACAAAAGATAAAGAAATAAAGGCAAATGATATAAAGTATGAATTAGAGTATGATATTGAATCATCAGATATTGATATATCAAATAATAATAATGAAAGTATATCTAAAACAACTGAATCAGAAGTAGAAAGATTAGCAGAAAAAGTAGCTAAATATTTCAATAAATCAAAAATAAGATAATAAACTTTGTTTAATTAAATTCCAAAGGCACTGGAACAAATGATAGAATATTCATTAAATTCATTAAATTTAGCAAAGCTTTTTAAATCGGTTAACAATGATCTTTTTACATTAGGATGAGCTGTAGACATTAATATACTCTTTACATTAATTAATATATCATTGTATTCAAATCCAACTGCTAATAACCTATGAAGTAATGGTTTATTAATATTATTCTCAATTAATAATCCCATGATTATAGAAAGATCTTTATTATTAATTTTATCTAACAAATTAAAAATTTCTTCAAGTGCAGAATTCTTAATAAATTCTTTGTAATATTTTTTAATTTGATCTTTGTTATCATAATTAATAACATCAAATATTTCTAATGCTAAATCAGGTTCATTATAACAATAATCATTTAAAAGTGACTCTGCTGATAATAACATTTTAAAATTTAAATGTGGTTTTCTAATTGAAACAGCCTTTTGTATTTTATAAAGCTTTAATCTTAAAATAATATCAGATGATTTACTATCTAAAGACTTAGCTATATTAAGAGATTCAACTTTCTCACTTAATGATAAAGATGGTCTTTCAGATAATTTAATAAGTGCATTAACAGCACCTTTCTTGTCATCATTATAAGCTAAATATTTCCATTCTAAGCTGTAAATCTTAGGATCAGATGATATTCGTGATTTTAAGAACTGAATAAATAAAGGATTTTTAATCTTTAAAAGTTCTATTTCTCTTTGAGGTGATTGACAGCACAAACAAGGATCAAAATTATTCATGTTAACTAAAACTTCAAAAAATGGATATAAAAATTCCTCTCTTGTGTCTTCTAAACCATAATTCATAGCTCCTATACATCTAACAGATTCACTCAAATAATCAATTGCTTCATTGTAATTTAAATTAAACTTTTCTCTGATCAAATAAACACTTCCATAAAAGAATCCTTTATCATTATAAACATCAATAATATTCATTCTTAAAGGAACTAACTTAAAGTAACTTAAACTCTCATACAATGCCTTATTAGTAGGAGTACCGCTAATAACTTGAAATCCTCTTTGAATATTCATCTGATCAGATGGAAAGTATAATGAGCAGTTATTTTCAAGAATTCTATTTAATTGATCAATAGAATTATTCTTTTTAAAAATTTGTGTAAGTTCATTTAAACTCTTCTCATTAAAATTAGACTCTCTAACTAAAATAGATTCAAATGTTTCATTATAAGTGATATTATACTTATCAAGTAAGTCTAAATAAAAGATTGTTTGTAAAAATTCTTCAATGAACTTTCTTTGTTGTGTCAAAGAGTATTTAACTCTTGTAAGTAATGTCTTTAATTTTTTTACTATTTTTTCTAATAAAAAGAGATTGTTTTTACCAGACTTGAACTTACAAATATCAACTCTCCAAAAATCTTTAACAAGTAAAGCTAAATAAATAAATAAAGCAAAACCTTTCAAACTGTCATTTTTACAATAACCTTCTAACATTGATACATTCTCATTATTAGCCAACAATTCAAAATACTTAACCATAAAATATACATCCCCATAATTCTTATAGATCTGATAAATCTCCTCACTTCTTAAATTTAATAGTAATTGTTTGTTAGTATAAATTGAGTAGATTGATATTTTAAAATCTGTCAAAACAACCAATGAATCATCATTAATAGAAATAGCTTTAACATTCTGTTCAGTGTTTAATTGATGAGAATTTTCAGATGATTTAGTTTGTAAAAAATTAACCAATTGATCTTCATTAAATGAAATAAGATTGAGAAAGTTAACTCCATTAACCTCTTTCAGAATCACAAACTTATCTGATAAGCACTTAGATTGTTTTATTTTAGCTACAGTTGGAAAATCTTTAGATATTATTAGTTTTCTCTCTTCAAAGAAATCTCTGTTACCTGAAGGAAATAAGCAATAAAAACTTAATGGATTCTCATCTAAAATTACAACATCAATATATTCATTCTTATTAGTAATAGTATATTTATAATCAAAAGAGTTATTTTTGATATAATAGACATAAATATTAAAACCTATAAATACAGCATATTCATTTCCTATTGCAATACATTTAATTCTATTGAGTGGTAATTTATAAAGAGGTGATAATTTTCTAATAAACCAGTTAGTTGAATGACCAACAGACAAATATTTATATTGAATACAAGGAATTGAACAACATTTAAATTTGTAAAAAATTCCACTACTACACCCCAAATATATACAAGTGTCTTTAGTAACCATGGAAGTTGGTTTGTCTTTATAAAAGTATGTAAAGTCGGTCTTAACGATGTGATATGAATCTTCTTCTACTGCATAAATATGTAAACTATTGACAGTAGCAACAGCAAAACATAATTCAACTGATTCACTGAAAATATCTGAATCAGCTTTAAAAGTCTCTACAAAACACACTTCTTTATCGTACGTTTCAACTAATTCAGTAGTATTTCTGAAATAATTATAAAAATATAATTTGAATCCTTCAGTAAACCAGATAACCTTTAGTTCTGGTATTATACCATAGAGATCTTTATTAGGCAGTGATACAGCAAACTCTTTCTGAAGTTTAAGTGTACTTAGAGTTGTATAATTACCCAGTGAATTAGAATATATATGTGACTTAGTAGGTGGTATCTTATTGATTTCTATAAAAGCCTCTAATAATCCTGTATTTTTCATGGGCAAAATTTTAAATTAAAATTTAAAGAGAAATTTAATAATTCTGAGAGAACTTGCTCTTCATGAAAGGAAGAATCCGTCTTCTTGCGTTTATAAACCAATTATTTATTTGTGTGGAGTCTAATTTAGTAGCCTCCATAAGAGCAGCTTTTTCAGATTCAGTAGGATATGGATTATTCATATTTTCTTTCAACCATGTTTTTAGTATTTTAGAAACAGCTTTTGGATAGTTAGATCTTTTACTTTTGTTCTTATTCTGGGAATTATATAGTTCACTTGCATTTATACTATTAGAATCATTATAATTATCAAGAGATATGCTTGAAAGTGGTGGATGGTCTCTTAAGTTACACACAAGGTTTATTTGTGCGTTAAACTCATCTATTTCTGTATCTATCATGTTTATCATACTCTGTTCTATGTAACATATTCTCTTCATTTTATCTAATTCACTATATAAAGCTAATAGTTCTTCTTTGTCACCACCTGTGGAATATTCCTTATTAATTAACATGTATATTTCTTCTATTTTTCGTTCCATGTAATTACCGTTTCTTTTTAAGACATCTCTAGATATTTCATGGAATGTTTCTGAATATTCTTCTGTCATACTATTTTCTGTTTTCATGTGAAATAAATAAAAATTATTTTTTATGTTCATTTTTTCAATAAAACTATTTGTTAATTTTATTTGATCATGATATTTTAATAAATTATTTATTTCTTTTTTAATATTAGAAATTTATAAAAGTATTTTTATGAAAGTATGTTTATTTTTTAAAAGAAAACACTTTAGAAGAGTTATTATGAAATGATTTTGTATGTTTTTTAATTTCGTATTATTTAAGAATATTTGTATTAACTTAATAATAAATAAATATTATAACTTAAATAGATATTAATATATTTAAACATTTCTATAAACTTAAATTAAAATTAAGTATAAAAAAATTTTTTGTTTAATTATAAAAGACTTCTAAATGAAAAACATATCAGGTATTTTTTAATAAATATTTAAAAGTAATTGTTTTTTATTCTAATTTAAAATAGAATATGATTTTTTTATATTAACATAACTATTTTTAGTAATACTAGTATATTTTTAAAACATTAAAGATAAATTATAAGTAACAATTAAAGTTAATTAAAAAGATAATAAATTATAACTTCATTTTGGTATTTTTAATAACTATTTAACTAAATTACTTTTTACAAGTTTTTTAATTGAATAGCTTTTAAAAAGTAATATCAACAATTTGAAAGAAATTTTAAATAAATTTAAATTTAATAAATTAATTTAATTAGTAATTTAGTAATTGAAATAAAAAATTAAAATTTACTAATAAAAATTTAATAATATTGAGAGAATTTACTCTTCATAAAAGGAAGAATCCGTCTTCTTGCGTTGATAAACCAATTGTTTATTTGAGTAGAATCTAATCCAGTGGCTTCCATAAGAGAGGATTTTTCAGATTCAGTAGGATATGGATTGTTCATATTCTCTCTTAACCAGTTCTTAAGTATTTTCGAAACAACCTTTGGATAATTGGATCTTTTATTCTTATTTTTATAATTCGAGTTATAAACATCACTAGCATTAATACTATTAGAATCATTATAAGTATCTAAACTGACATTAGAAAGTAATGTTTGTTCTTTTAAGTTACTTACTTGATTAATTTGAGTATTAAGATATTCAATTTCATTGTTTATCATATTTTCAAGATTAATTTCTAAATCAACCATAATCTTCAATTGACTAAGAATAAAGTAAAATTCTATTAAAAGGTGTTTACTTTGTTCATCATTAAAAAGATTTGAATTCTCTGTAACAACATTTCTAATTGATTTTATATTCTGTTGAATTTCTTCTTTTGTCATTTGTTTATTAACATAAGTTTTAACAGTATTTAAAACATCATTTACAATATCTAATTCTTTTACAATCATTAAGCAGAACTTTATAAGAGTAAAAATTTTAATAAAAATTTAAACAAATAACAACATCTAATATTTAAATTAGTAATATAAAAATGCTTAAAAAAACAATAAAAGTAAAAAACAATGAATTGTGTAAATAAACATTCATTTCAAAATTAAGTATTAAAATTTTGTGTAGAAATTACCCCTTCTATGTCAATTATTGAAGAAATTGAAACTATACAAAATCAAATAAAAGAAAGACTGTATGAAAAGTTTCAAATTGTAGATAAAGAAGAGTTTGAAACTCTATTAAATAACTTCAAGGCTAAAGATACCACTGATAAGTCTAAATCTCTTGGGTGTTTATATTTTAAGACTTTTAAAGACACCGTTTCTAAATCCACTACCGAGGTTTTTCCTAATGAATATGAAATGCTTTCTAATACACTAAGAGATATTATAAATGACGCGAATAAACAGAATACTCAAAGATACTTTTAGAGAATAAATTTCTTTACCGAATTATTTTATTTACAATTTACAATCAATACTGTCTATAAAAATTGTTGTTATGTGTACAATTTTTAGTTCTATTCCTCTTATTTGTAAACCAATTATTAACTTGTTTAGGTGTGATCAAACATAAATTAGCTAATTTGTTTTTAACATCATCATTAGGATATTTATCTTTAGCAAAACTTTCGGATCAAGTCTGAAATTTTCCCCCCGATAATAACAACTCGGAAATTTTCCCCCTTTAATAAAAAATAAAAAAAAATAATAAACAAATTTTATTCAAAT